ATGTCCTTCTCTTAGCGATGCTGGAGATAAAGTCAGGGCAGATAAAGATTTGCTTCCTTCATCCCGCTGTAGTGTGGTCAATGTAATCTTTCAGGTGTTGATGCGGCTCATAAATGTGTCGTCCTTGTGATTCAGGGGCCTGTTGTAGATTGTTGCCATGATTTTCTGTAATGCTCACTGAATACTTAAGCTTTGGCAGTCTTTCCGAATCTGTGGATCTTGCTTGGTTACAATAAATTATAAACTGGATAATTGAAAAATTAAATAATCAAATAAAATGTTGAAATAAAGGTTATGTGATTTAATAATAAATTGATTTTGCCATAAAAAAAAATATATATATATATATATATATGTATATATATATATATATATATATATATATATTGAAGAATGTTGCGAATTAGCTCAAAGTGAATTGAATAATAATTTAAATGGAGCTCTTTCAATCTGAACCAACACAAAACCAAAAACATGTAAAAAATTTATCTCCTACGAGTTATTTGGTGCTCTCCAGAAAAGTATATAGCGGTGCGTTTTCAGAATAAGCCTGAGTTGGCAAATACATTTACCAAAGTTGTTAGAGAGTGTGGGTCTCACACTGATTACTTCACCAAACAATATTTGTTTTCGACATGACTTACTGCATTTAAAGTAGACACTTCAAGCTTTCTATAAATATATCTCCCAGGTCTGTGTGTCTTGTTAAGTTTTAGTTCACTTTAGTAACACAATTCTATAAGCAGTTCGTGGAGAGACAAAAGAAAGAAAGTGCACACTGTTTATTCCCCTTATTTTGCAAAAGCACAAACTTTTGTTGTTATTGTGAGTATACACAAAAAAAGTAGACACTTAACATATTCAAATGGTGTATAACACTTATCTGTGCGACCAAAATCAACAGAGAAGTCTTAGTATCTTTAGCACTGATAAAAAAAAAAAAGATGCTTGTCAATACCTGGCGACCTCAGAGGGTTACATTTTTATTGAAAAGAGAATTACTTGAATCATGTTGTAGCTATATTTCCAAGTTGAAAAGATATATATATATAAATATATATATATATTT